GATTCCTTCACATATATCACAGAAGGCGGCCATATACCAACCTCTCTATCGGAAGCTCGATGACTGTGTGGAACTTGCCGAGGAGAGCTCCTGGTCCCTCTCCGACCTCGATGTAGTCACTGTGGGTGAGGCAGGGGGTGGTGGCCGGGGAGCCCAGATGTACCTGTGTGCGAGCCTGAGCTTCCTCTATAGACAGTAACTTAGTGGATGGGGAGCAGACCATCAGGGACTTTGGTCTGGATAAGGTGTTGTTACCTAAAGTTGAAATGTTCAGTGTGTTAGAGATGCATACAGGGTATATATGTATACAAGAACTTTTATAATCCTTGACTGGGAAACAGTTTAAAAAAAAACACTTACCAGTACTTTCCCTTATGATCGAATTAAGTTTGGGGCTGAAGAGAGCCTCAGTATTATTGAGGATGAATTCCACCACCACCGACTGGATACGCACCTCCATGAACGCGGCCGTGCCGCTAAAGCAGGCCGACTCGATCTGTCTGGACCTGAAACACAGCAAAGCACAGCGCAACCCATTTCACAGCAGCTCTGTACCACTGAGACATGCCCCAGTTCACCGTCACAGAAAGGCTAGAATGAAACAGCAAAGCTAATGCTGCGACGCTATGATAGTCACCTGAGGAGGTTAGGTGCCCAGACGATAGCTAAGTTTTTTGTGTGCATGTTAGTGATGGAGCTGAAGGTGGCGAGTTGGGAGAGGTGCCTCATGAGGAACTCCAGTGTCCTGCAAAAAAAAAAGTAAATTTTTCTTTTTAGACTTTAAAATTGACAACTTTAGCTTATTGTATCTGCTCAAACCCAACACAGTTATCCTTCCTATTACCAATACAAAGATTTGAAACTGGCAGGATCAGTTTTTCACATCTCAAGCTAAATAAAATAACTTTAAATTGCTGTATTTGGTGAATATGAGAGACATTTTTGTAACTGACATATAGGCTTGTGTAGGAAAACGGGATCTCACGGCTCCCACAAACCAAATCAGACTCTCAGCAGGGTCCGACATGCTGTTTACAAAATCCCATTTCTACTTCAGACCACCAGGGTGCAGCAGCAGCGAGCTTGAAAGCTGACCTGTAATGTGGAGGAGGCAGCTGCTGGATGACATTGTGGATTTTGACCAGCCTCTCCTCATCTGTGGGTGCAGACACAGCCTCCTGTAAAAAGACAGAGGATAAAGCGCGCATGACTTCGAGACCGTTAATCACAGCCGAGGGAGTTTCCTCAACATCCCCGCTCTCGTTTTCCCCCTTTTTTGTTAAATATTCAAAGCAGCCACTGTTTTGTCTCGCTTAATCTGCTATTCGGGTTTTAACATGCACAACCCCCGCTGTTCCTAGAAAGCTCAGCGTGATGCACTGACCCCATTTTGAGCAGCACTTCAAAATGAGCAGAAATTTTGAAATGATTTCTTCTGTTCTTTTGTCACCACTGAATAACTAGAAATATGTTCCTCGCAGCTTTTTTTTGCCCTACTTATAATACTTGACACTGTTGCAATACCAGCTTCCTTTCTGATATCTATTCCCAGTGTAAACCCGTGCTGTGGTCCTTACTGAGAATCTGTCGTAGAGCTGGTAGGTGAGAAGAGGGTTGGGCAGCTCCCTGAAGTACAGTTTGCAGAGAGAGCCCACTGAGTGGATATCCTGTGTGTAGACGTCTCTGCTCAGGTCTGGGATCTGTTCAGAGTCAAACTCATGCCTACATGGAGACCAAAATAAAGAGAAAAACAGAACAGTGTGGGAGTCATCCTACTGCCCATCTGTCAATATATGAGAAAAACAAACAACAAAAACAGGACTATAAGCTCCTTTTGAGGCAGAAATCATTAATTTACCACATGATAATGTATGCCTTTTATTACTATTTCAGTGTCTTTGTTTAAAAAAAAACTTTATTCTTGCATCTAATGCAGGAAATCTATTAATAAGCTTGCTGATTATTATCAGAAAATCGTCGACTGCGTTTTTATCTCCTGTGTTTTCATAAATGTTGAAAGACTATTTCGTGTGGTGACAGTCAGTTATTTTAAGTGAGAAAAGACGTTTTGATTGGCTGTCAAACACCATCAGGTTCTGTGCCTAATTTATGTACTGATGGGGGATTGTTTCACAAATTCCTCCTGGCAAGCATAAAATAGATGAGAAGACCATTACAGCCGTTCGGAGCTGCGCAGCTTGAAACAAATTGTGTTTGATGGATTCCAA